GATTGGCCTGCTGTATCTTTCAGTGAGTACTTGTTGGCTCTCTTGCAGTTTTTCTATTCTCAGATCCATCAAATGCCCCTTGCTTTGCTTTTCCTCATTCAGAGGGCTGAACAGGCATCCCTCTTTTTTTTTTTTTCTGAAGATTTTATTTATTTGACAGAGAGAGAAATAGCGAGAGCAGGAACACAAGCAGGGGGAGTGGGAGAGGGAGAAGTAGGCTTCCCGCCGAGCAGGGAGCCCCATGCGGGGCTGGATCCCATCTGGCTCCTTGCTCTGCAGGGGGTCTGCTTCTCCCTCTGCCCCTCCCCCAACTTGTTCTATCTCTCTCTAATAACTAAAATCTTTTAAAAAAATTTGTGTCTTCCAAGGTCATGAAAATATTTTCCTGTGTTTTCTTAAAGAAGTTTTATTGTTTTACTTTTCATATTTAAGTCTGTGATCAATCTCAAAATACATTTTTGTGCACGGTGTGGATAGAGGAGTCAAGGTTTACATCTAGCACTATTTATTGACAAAACCATCAATCATCCTTTCTTCACTGAATTGCAGTAATACCTTTACTGTAAAGGTAAACCAGGTGTTTATACATGTGTAGTTTTGTTTCTGGGCTCTCTATTCCATTCTACTTAATGGATTTGCTATCCTTTCCACAAAATCAGACTTAACTAGTTTTATAATATATATTGATAGGGCAGGATAAGTAGATCCTCCACAAATTTATTGTTTCAAGAATGTTTTGCTATTTTTTTTGAGATTTTATTTTTAAGTAATCTCCACACCCCATGTGGGGCTCAAACTTACAACCCTGAGATCAAGAGTCACATGCTCTACTGACCAAGCCAGCTGGACACCCCTATTTTGGCTATTATTCTAAGACTTTATATTTCCTATAAGCATTAGAATCAGTTAATCAATTTCCACCAACCACACACAAAAACTGAGCTTTTGACTGGGATGGTAATGAATCTAGATCAGCATTGGGAGAACTGACATATTTTGTTAATATCAAGTCTTCCAATCTAGGAAAATGGTTATTCATGTTTTCTTCTATGTGTTATAGGCTAATGTGTGGAGTTTATGCATCTATTTCACTATATTATTTGCATGTATTTGATTTTTTGATGCTATTATAAACAGCACTTAGCTTATTTTCTAATTTATTGTTAATATATATGACTACAATTAATTTAAATATTTTTAAATTTTTTCAAGTAAGCTCTGCACCCAATGTGGGGCTTGAACTCACAACCCTGAAATCAAGAGTCACATGCTCCACTGACTGAACTGGCCAGGCACCCCAGAAATAGAATTTTAAAAAAATATTGGCATTGCAACTAATTTCCTTATTAAATTCTCTTAATTCTAATAGTTTGTCATAGATTCTTTTAGTTTTTCTCCATAGATAGGCATGTCAAATGCAAATGAGTTTTATTCTTCCTTCCTAATCTTTTTTCTTAAGATTTTATTTATTTGACAGAGAGACACAAAGAGAGAGAAGGAACACAAGCAGGGGGAGTGGGAGAGGGAGAAGCAGGCTTCCCACCGAGCAGGGAGCCAGATGCAGGGCTCGATCCCAGGACCCTCGGATCATGACCTGAGCCGAAGGCAGATGCGTAATGACTGAGCCACCCAGGCACCCTGGGACAGATTTTTTTTTAGTGGGGCCCAACACAGGGCTTGAACTCATGACCCTGAGATCAAGACTCAAGTCCAGATCAAGAGTTGGACACTCAACCGACTGAGCCACCCAGGTGCCCCTCTTGGGACAGATTTGGTAAGTTGTGTTTTTCAAAGGATTTGTGTACTACAACAAATTTGTCAAATTTTTTGACCTATGTTGTTCATAACCTTTTGTTTTTAATGTCCATAGGAGCTCCAGTGATTTTTTTTTAAGTAATCTCCACATCCAACATGGGGCTCAAATCACCACCACCCTGAGTCGCACGCCCTACTGACTGAGCCTCCAGTGATTCTTGATATTGGTTATTTTTATTTCTTTAAATCCCTTGATCAGTTTTACTAGGGGTTTATTAATTAGATTTTTTATTAATTTGTAAGCATATGACTTATGAAAGTCTTTTTTTTTTAAGTCAGCTTAAAACATGGGGCTTGAACTCACAATTCTGAGATCAAGAGTTGCATGCTCTATCAACTGAGCCAGCCAAGAGCCCCATGAAAGTCTTTTAACATCCGTATGTGTGAGGTGTTAGTCCAATTTCCCAGGTTTTAGGTTTCCCTTGCTGTATTTATTTGTAGAAGCAAACTGGATTAACCGCTCTTTGTTCTAGATGTGACTTCCAGAATGTTAGTTCATAATCATCTACTCTCTACATTTAAAATCACTGTTGCCTTAAAAAGAAAAAAATCACAAGCTTCTGAAAACCTTGTCCTCAATATTACACCATTTTCCTAAGCTAACTTTGTCAAAAACAAAGACTTGGGTAATTGCCTCAGATTTTTCTTTCAGCTATAAATTCTCAAATTCTTTATTTTTTTAAAGATTTTATCATTCAAGAGAGCGAGCATGAGCAGGGGAGGGACAGAGGGAAGAGAAGCAGGCTCCCCACTGAGCAGGGAGCCTGCTGCGGGGGCTCTATTCCAGAACCTGGAATCATGACTTGAGCCAAAGGCAGATGCTCAACCTATAGAGCCACCCAGGTGCCCCTAAATTCTCAAATTTTTAATCTCATCCTAACATGGTCACACTTTATAATTCAAAATTATAGAGCACTAGTCACTTCTACAATTTTGTACTTAATGTTGTCTTTGTCTACAACCTCTTTCCCTATTATCTGCCACTCAGGATTGCAGCTATTTATGATGTGCCAAGGAGCTGGGACTTTTAAACTAAAAGCAAGGAATTTCAAAGCTTCGAATCAGAAGAGTAACATGACCTAAAATTATAAAGCATCATTCTTTCTACAGAACTTGAGCTCACTTACTCACTTTTACATCCTGTGTAGCAAACTGTACCTTGTACATATAAAAAATTTATCAAAGAATTTCCCTTGTCCTCTGTGAAATGAGAAAACCAATAAATTGCCATTTCTTAAGGACTGTTATTCTGAATTGTCCTTCCTAATTTTTTATATTAAATTAGTGGTAGATGTTTCCTAATGCCTTTTCTCAATTAAAAAGATGAAAACAAATCCTGGGTACAGTCCAGATCACTGATGACAAGTCCTTCAGCAGGGGAAGTAGATGAAAAACAAGACTTTTAACTGTCTTCTTCCTTCCTTCTACAGTAAGAACATAGTAATTTTACAATTAAAAAAAAGTTGATAATGGAAAAAAAAATTATTCCCTTGCCTAGAGATATTTATTATGTTCTGAATTTAGTTGATTTTTCCATCAACATTTCATTATGAAAAATTTCACATACCACAAAGTTGAATGAAATTTACAGGGAACAGGGATAAACCCAGCATCTACATCTTTTGGAAAATTTTCACATTTACTTCATTACTACATGAAGAGCTTATGGTGCCTTACAGGTGTGTGCAATATGTTGAAGAAACGAATTTTTTTTGAAGATTTTATTAATTTGTCAAAGAGAGAGAGAAAGAGCACATGCGAAGCAGGGGGACCAGCAGGCAGAGGGAGAAGCAGGTTCCCCGCAGAGCAAAGAGTCTGATATGCGTCCCCAAAATTAAAGAATTTAAAGGAGAGGATTTGGGGCGCCTGGGTGGCTCAGTCATTAAGTGTCTGTCTTCGGCTCAGGTCACGATCCCGGGGTCCTGGGATCGAGCCCCGCCATCAGGCTTCCCGCTCCCTCTGCCTGCAGCTCCCCCTATTTGTGTTCTCTGTGTGTCAAATAATAAAGGAAAGGATTTAATTTTTTCTCAACGGACAAATTAAATGTTTTTAGCAAATTATCTTAAGTAGCCACTGGTTGATTTCATTAGTTTACTCAGATACCACTGATACCAAGCGTCTATCTAATATAATGTCATTCAATTAACTGTTAAGTTTTAATGAAATAATGGGCCCATTAATCATTTGGAAAGGAACTTCAAAACCTGTGTTATATTCCTAGAGAATCCTCTTAGGCCTCCAAGAGTAAACTGGATTTTTGGAAACATCCCAAAGCTTCATTCAAATCCAACTCTGAAAGACTGAAATGGTCGTGTCAAAAACCAAAATGGTTATAAATTAATGAGAATGATTTTCCTAGGTATTCTAAAAATAATTTTATGCACTGGCATCACTGACGGAGTCTATAAGTACTCCTAGTGTCACCCCCGCCAAAAAGAATGCACCTTGTTCTGCTCTGGTCATCGCTCATACGCCATTTTGTTCCACAGCTTGGAAACACAACCCAGGTATATGTAAGAATTTAATATATGATATAAAGTTGGTATCCAAAATCAGATACAAAGGGAGAATTCCTAAATATAGTGATGGGGACCAGTGACCATCTGAAAAAACAGAGATCCTTAATTTTCATTAGTGTATTTCTCAAATTTAAGCATGTAGTCTCCTTCAGAGGAAAAAAAAATTGCCACAATACCTAAAGGTTGACTTAACATATTTTTAATATTTCTTAGATTTGTACTAACATAAAAATAGGTATACACTCTTTATTCTTATAGTTCTCATACAACAATAAAAGCAAAAACATTTATAAATTAAGACCAATAAAATGCAAATTAATCACCTTAATATAATGTAACAAATAATGCTGTTTTGCTCAGATAATAAAAAAATGTTTTGCCCAAAAGAAATAAATCACAGGTATTTGGTTTAATAGCAAAAAAGCTGGTTTCAGATTCCATTCTACTCTCAAACTGTTTCTGAATGTTTTTACCTTAATAATGATAATAGTCATACAGTATCTTGTTCAAACTAGTATTGATAAATTGAAGCCTTTTTTCTCCTTCTTTCAAAGTAATCAGAACAGAAAATTAACCAAACATGTTAAATGTCAGTCCTCAAATGCCAGTTGTAAAAGGTGTGAATTGACACAGAATGAAAAAGTAACAACTGCCTTTATTGAAATCTGCATTAATTACTACTGAACCCAATTAGCTTTAGAATTTGGAACAGAAACATTCTTTACTATTTATTTGCTATTATACTTATTGCTAACGAACTGTTGAAAGTCATAGGAGCCTCCCAACAAAAATGGTACTGACCATTAGGGTATAGATCTTTTCTGAATAAATTTAAGACCCTATTATGTCAAGAACCACATCAGCTATATTATGTGTACAACAAGAGCACACCATCATTTTTCTCATTCTCATGTAATCCATGTTCTGCAGATTCCACAGTTTTACTTTTTTTCAAATCAGATTTTAATTTTGAATACTTAACACTATTGTTGATATGCATTTCACTTTCCTCATGTTTGCTAAGAATATGTGATAAATGCTGCCAATCTTTGCACCCATTCTCATTCTTCAGTTGATTTTTTCCTTCCCCAAAGAGTTTGCAATACAAACAAAATACAGAATCTTTTGCAGTCGAATAAAGTAACCAGGATCTAGTGGTCTTATCACCATTTGGAAGAATTCGTGTGTAGTAAGTTTCTGAAAATTTCCTCCCTGTATTGTCTTTTGGAAAGTTAAAATTTCTTACTTGAGGTGGATCGTTTTCAACAAGAATGTCCCGTTGTTTAGTATTCAAAATTCGGGGCCATGTACCTGGGTCTGTAGAAAGTACAACTGATATAATGCAGTCTTCTGATTTTTTCTCTTCCAGTGGCTCTTGAAATTTATCAGCTATGGTTAACATAGAAGAAGGTAAATTCACATCCTGCTTGATCAGTGATGTATCTGTGCTATATTCTGCCAAAACCTGTAGCTCTGAAGTCTTTTCCTTTTTCTCTGGTATTCCCTCTTTTTTTCCTAAAAGAGTATTCGATGGTCCATATAATTTTCTTTCATTTTCTTCTTCTCTAACAGCATTCCTTTTTCTGTTTTCTGATGCTGACAAATTTTTTGATTTTGTTTCCAACATCTGGGGAGAAATAGATTACAACTTTATCTTAGATTTGTTAAAAAGAGGGGTGCCTGTGTGGTTCAATCAGTTAAGCATCTGTGCTTGGCTCAGGTCATGAGCCCAGGGTCCTAGGATCAAGCCCCAAGTTGGGCTCCCAGCAGGGATCCTGCTTCTCCCTCTGCCCCTCCCCTCCGCTTGTGCTTTCTCTCTCAAAATAAATAAAATCTTTAAAAAAAATGTTAAAAAATTAATGTATATTAATTTTTATTAATATAAAAGCTGCTCATCATTCGTCATCAAGGAAATACAAATCGAAACCACCACATACCACTTCACACCCACTATGATGGCTATAATGAAAGGAAATATAATGACAAGTGTTGGCAAAGATATGGAAAATTCGAAACCTTCCTGAGGTGCTAGTGCAGATGTAGAATGGTACAGGTGCCTTGGAAAATAGCCTGGTAATCTTAAGAGTTACCATATGACCCACCAATACCAAAATGAAAATATAGGTCTACACAGATTTGTACCAAGTGTTCATAGCAACATTATTCGTAATAGCCAAAAAGTAGAAATAATTCAAATGTCCATTACTGATGGATAAATACAAAATGTGGGTGTTATCCATATAATGGAATATTACTTGGCTATTAAAAACAAGTTATATGCGGGGGGCGCCTGGGTGGCTCAGTCGGTTAAGCGACTGCCTTCAGCTCAGGTCATGATCCTGGAGTCCCGGGATCGAGTCCCGCATCGGGCTCCCCACTCAGCGGGGAGTCTGCTTCTCCCTCTGACTCTCCCCCCTCTCCTGTGCTCTCTCTCTCTCTCTCATTCTCGCTCTCTCAAATAAATAAATAAATAAATAAATCTTAAAAAAAAAAACAAACAAGTTATATGCTACAACATGGATGAACCTTGAAAACAGTATGATATGTGAAAGCCAGTCACAAAGTATCACATATTGTATGATTCCATTTAATAATAAGATATATAACTGATTTTAGAATCAATAAAATTCAAAATAACAAAAATGTATACAATGTGAATGGCACCCTATTAGCTGTAATATTTTTGTATACAACACAACTGGAACCCTGCATTTGATAATGTTTAAGAAAACTAAGAGCCTTGGGGTGCCTGGGTGGCTCAGTCAGTTAAGTGTCCTGACTCTCAGGTCATGATCGAGCCCCGTGTTGGGCTTCGTTATCAGTGCAGAGTCTACTTAAATTCTCTCTCTCTCTCTGCCCTTCTCCCCTCTAAAATAAATAAATTTTAAAAACAAAAACAAACCAACTAAAAGCTTTGTTTTGATTTAACCCTGAAAGCAACATTGGCAGCATGAAGTAAAACAAGCAGGAGCAACATAATCAAATTCATACTTAGAAAGACTGCTGATTGTATTATGGATTTCTAACTGTAAGGAAGACCAAGGGTACAGAGACAGTCAGAAGCTGTGGTAGTTTAATTCTGGCAAGAGATGATGGTGGCTATATATCTAGGATTGTAGGAGTAGAGACAGGATGGAGTTGAGAGATATCTGGACTACTGGTAACTGAGTGGCTCTGGAGGCCAAGGAAGAGGAAGGAGTAAAGAATGACCCTAAGTTTCTGCCTGGGCATCTGACTGAATGGTGGGATCATTTACTGATACGGGAAACAGCGAAAATGGGTTTGGAGTTTCAGTTTTAGACAAGGAATCTGAGGTATTTGTGGAACATTCAAATGGAGATTACAAATGGATATACTAGTCTAAAATTGAAAAAAATATCTACACACAAAAGAAAAAAATAAACAAAAAAAGGAAATATCATCTACAGATATATTTTGGAAGTTATCAAAATCTATTAATTAAAACTATGGGATTGGATGAAACTGTATTGAAAAGCATATAAAAAAGCCAACAGAAGGCCAATGACTATAGTTAGTGTTATTTTTTATATAACCAAATCCAAGCTTAGACTTGTTTCTCCTTCCTGAGTTTCCTGGTAATGAACAGGTATTCAACTTGTTATAGTCATAATTCTCAATGGATGGGCCATGTCCCAACTGTATGACCTTGGGCAAGTTACTTGGACCACTGGAGCTTCAATTTCTTTGGCAATAAAATGAAGATATCGACTACACCTAACTAGGGAGACTGTTTAGATGATTAAATGCAAAAATACATGTAAAACTGTATCTGGCACCACAGTCATGTTAGTTGTTATTCTGGGCATGAACTCTAACAAGGATACCTGTGATCATTTGACAATTACTGAATGTGGTCTAATACCAAGAACTGATAGTAAGAAGACAAAGGTGGCTGATCCAAAGGCTCATAGGTTTTCTGCTTTCTATTCTAGGTTCCAAGATTAACTGGTTCTATCTTTCCCTATCTTTGTCTTCAGGCATCTTTCCGGGACATTCATCTGAGATTCTCTGAAAATGAAGTTCAAAAATACTCTAGTGCAATACTACATCTCTCACAACCAACATTTTTACTGATGACCTGGGTGAAAACTGAAGCTAAGTAAAAAGCAGGTGAGGCAGCCACCAATTAACTATAAAGCCTCTAAAAAAACAGAAGGAGAAAACAAAACAAGAAAAAAACCACTGGAAAGAAAGGTATCAAGATGAAGAGCACTGTATTTATTGACCGAATCTCATTTCACTCTCAGAAGTGTCCCAGTGAGATGGTTAAAGTTACCCCACATATAAGGCTACTTATTCTTAAGATTACTAAATTGAATCAGGTAAAAATCCTGGCCTCAGGGAACCTACAGCTTATTAAGGGAGATAAGGCACATGTATAATTAAATATTCATGTCAGATTCAAGAGAGATGTAAGGTCAAATCTAGCTATGTGACTTTGGGTAAGACACTTTCTCTGAACTTCAGTATCTTTAACATATTGTAAAGGTTTTATTCAAAACTGAATATATACTTACTACAAAGCAACAACTAGTTTTACCTGGTTAATTAAAACAAATAGCACTCCCCAACCACCTTTACTCATTTCTTCTTTCCCAGAAGTTAGTCACTTTTAACACTATTAGCTGATTCATTTGGTGTTTATGTCCAAATCTCAAAGTAACATGTTTATATTGCTATTTACTGGCCTTTCCTCCCAGTTTTAGGCATCACAAATTGGCTTTTCAATGAGGAAGAAAGAAATTTAGTTTTCCTCCTTCTCATTGTACTTACCATGTGTACCATCCAGCCATCTACTTATCCTTCGGTTGTAGGATATCTCAACTTTGGCGCTACTGACATCTTGGGCCAGATAATTCTTTGTTGTGAGGGACTGTCCTGTGCATTGCAGGATGTTTACCAGCATCCCTGGTCCCTAACCAGTGGATGCCAACAGCACTACCCCAGCTGTGATAATGAAAAATATTTAGATGTTGCCAAATGTCCTTAGGGGAAAAAAATTACCCCTGGTTAGGTCATTGGGTAAGATCAAGATTCAATCTCTGCATTTAATTACTGTGTATGCTTTTCTCAGATAAACCATTAACTGCAAGATTTCAGTTTTTCCTTAAAGTCTTCTTATATTATTAAGACTTTCTACTGTGAAAAGGCCTGCCACTAACCATTAATGTGATGGTGGTGGGGGAGGTACATTTATAATTATATAGAAATATCATTCTTTTTTTTCTTTTTTTAAGATTTTACTTATTTGACAGAGAGAGAGAGAGCGTGCACAAGCAGGCGGGAAGGGCAGAGGGAGAAGCAGGCTCCCCACTGAGCAGGGAGCCTGACGCAGGACTCCTTCCTGGGATCAGGACCTGAGCCAAAGGCAGACGCTAAACCGAGCCACCCAGGCGCCCCTGAAAATATCATTCTTGTAACTGCCAACTGTTTACGAGCTATTTTGCATCACTGAGATATACATGGTAGAATGGAAAGACTTTCTTTTGGGGATCAGAGTGGCAGACAATATAGTAATTCAAGGAAGTCTGGATATATAATTGCTGCCTATTTTGACTACGTGTATTTTCTTGTTTTTACTTCCTTTGGCGTTCATTTAGGAGTAAAGAGTGGGTTATCTATGTGTAAGTTTCATGCTCTTCAGATGATACGCATTGTATCTGTTTATGAGCTCACTGCCTTTAACTTAGCAAAAAGTCATGGTCTAAGTAGTTACAAGTAAATCATCCATTAAAAAAAAATACTTGTAGGGGCACCTGGGTGGCTCAGTCGTTAAGTGTCTGCCTTCGGCTCAGGTCATGATCCCAGGGTCCTGGAATCGAGCCTCGCATCGGGCTCCCTGCTCGGCGGGAAGCCTGCTTCTCCCTCTCCCTCTGCCTGCCGCTCCCCCGGCTTGTACTCACTCTCTCTCTCCATTAAACTTAATCTTAAAAAAAAAAAAAGAGGTACGGTATATATAAAGAAAATAATAAAGATAACATAAATAAGCCTTCCTTTTAAAAACTTAAAAGTTAACTATAGACACCTATTGTTTCTTCTACTGTTTAATAAGCTTTGCACACTTCAGGGTTACTTTTCCCTTACTTAATCCTTATCCAGTGAAATGGGGGTTAAGAATATTCCTGGTTTGGGGCACCTGGGTGGCTCAGTCGGTTAAGGGGCTGCCTTCGTCTCAGGTCATGATCCCAGGGTCCTGGGATCGAGCCCCGCATTGGGCTCCCTGCTCAGCGGAGAGCCTGCTTCTCCCTCTCCCTCGGTCTGCCGCTCTGCCTACTTATGCTCTCTCTCTCTGTTAAATAAATAAATAAAAATCTTAAAAAAAATAAAGGGCCTTCTTTAAAATAAAAAAAAAGAATATTCCTGGTTTTACATTTATTGAATAAATTTTTTTGTATGGAAAAAAAATGAGGTCAAGTCTCATTTATTTCCAAATAACCAAAAATCCATCCTAGCACTACTTGTTAAAAAGATCTTACTTTTCCCATTAAAATGATACGGTACCAAATGGTGGAAGATAGCAGAGTAGGAGGGTCTTGAGCTCACCTTGATCCATGGACACAAGAGAACAGCTATACCTAACACACTAACTGAAAATGACCTAAAGATTGGCAGAACAGACCTTCCATGGATAATCATAGGGAGAAGTCCACATTGAAAAAAGATGTACCTGAGAACCAAATACCTGGTGTAACTAACCACAACTAGGAGGGGCATCACAAGCATGGAGAAGAGAGGCTCAGACCTCACACAGGGCACTCTTGGCACTGGGGATCTGCGCTGGGAAGATGAACTGCTGTAATGTGTTGCTTTGAAAACCAGCAGGGCTTAACTCCAGAAGCTTTAAAAACCAGTGACGCTTATATGAACTACTATAGGACTAGGCCCCTTTCCTTGCACCCCTCCCCCTCCCCCTTCAGTAGGCTGGGAAAGGTCCCTCCCAGGGGAGGGGGCTGTGGTGGTCTTCATGATAGGGCTCACCAGCCCTGTCCCCCCTCACTGCACCCTCTTGGGGTGTCTGGCCACAGAGTGAGGGTATGCTCCTATATCCTGACCCCAACCCCCTGTATTCCTACCATGTTGTATCTGTGTCTGGCTCATCTCTGCTTGAATAAAGTAATGCCTCTGCCTTAAAAAAAAAAAAAAAAAAAAAAATCAGTGGGCTTAACTCTGGGATAGCTGGAAGGCTACAGGAAACTGAGTGCTCACCCTTAAAGAGCCAGCATATTAAATAACAACCTGAGACACAGAAGAGAAGTAGCAGTTTTAAAAGCATCTGAGATATACATGAAGATTTATTGACTTGTTTTCGAAGGTGTGCCAAACGGGCAGGATCTGCAGATTACTCTAAGAAAAGTGCTAGTGGGTACCATTCCCTCCCACCCCCAGCCTATATAACTAACTGGTCACTTGCAAGAGCCAACACAAACACTCTCCATCTACCTTGCTAGCACTGTGTGCCCTGCCCCATCCAACCTGGCAGCCTTAGCTGGGACTGGCGCCACTCTAAAGTGATTCCTGCACTGGGAAAGTGGGGGGAAATAAGCCCACACACCATGCATGCAGTTCTTGTAGCTGGGAACCTTAGCTGGCTGTACAGGGAGCAAGACCTGCCCTTTGATGCACCGATAGCTGTGACAGAAAGGCTAACTGCAGACTGCTAGGCTGACGGCTTCCCCACCCACCAATGAGACCACAATAGCTGCCTGCAGCAGCCATGACAGGTTCCTCAACAGCACCTGGAGCAAACCCTGCCCACTGCACCCACAGCAAACAAAGTGAGTCATTGTGAGCGGCTGAATTGAAGGCAATCGTGGCTCAGTTACAATAGGAGGGTGCAAGCACCTCACACAAGGGACACACCTGGAGCATTTGGTTCTGGTGACTAGGAAAGACTATGTTACAGGGCACCACAGGACTTCTTCTACATAAGGCCACCATTTTCAAGACCAGGAGATACAGCTGACTTTCTTAATATGGAGAAACAAACACAGAAAATTAGACAAAATGAGACAGAAGAATATGGCCCAAATGAAAGGACAAAATCACAATAAAAAAGCTAAATGAAATGGAGATAAGCAATTTGCCTGAGGAAGAATTCAAAGTAATGATCATAAAGATACTCACTGGACTTGAGAAAAGAGTAGATGAATTCAGAACTGGAACAAAGAGACAGAAAATACAAGAAAGAACCAGTCAGAGCTGAAGAATTCACTAACTGAAATAGAGGGAATCAACAGCAAATGAGAGGAAGTAGAAGAACAGATCAGCAATATGGAAGAATACTGGCAATCATTCAAGCTAAACAGCAAAAAGAAAAAAGAATAAAAAGTGAGAACAGGTTAAGGGACCTCTGCGACATCATTAAGCAAAACAGCATTTGCAGTATAAGGATACCAGAAAGAAACTTATTTCAATTAAGTAATAGCTGAAAACATCCCTAATCTGGGGAAGGAAACAGGTTTAGGAAGCACAGAGAGCCCCTAACAAGATGAACCCAAGAAGGTCCATGCCAAGACACATAATGAAAATGGCAAAAAGTAATGATAAATACAGAATTTTTAAAGAAGAGAAAATAGTTACAAACAAGGGAAACCGAAAGCTATCAGCTGATTTTTCAGCAGAAACTTTGCAGACCAAAAGAAAGTGGTATGAGATATTCAAAGTGCTGAAAGAAGAAACGTATAACTAAGAACACTCTACCCAGCAAGATTATCATTCAGAATAGGAGAAACAGAATTTCCCAGACAAACAAAAGTTAAAGGAGTTCATCACCACCAAACCAGCCTTACAAGAAATGTTAAAGGGAATTTTTTCTTAAAAGATTTTATTTATTTGAGAGAAAGAGAGCAAGACAGAGAGAGAGAGAGAGCACATGAGCGGAGAGGAGGGGCAGAGGGAGAGGGAGAAGCAGACTCCCTGGCTGAGCAGGGATTAAGCCACCCAAGCACTCCAGGAATTCTTTCTTTTAAAGATTTATTTATTTATTTTAGAGAGTGTGTGTGCACGTGTGGGGGGAGAGGAAGAGAAAGAGAGAGGGGAAGCAGACTCAGCTGAGCACGGAGCCTGACACAGGACTTGATCCCAGGACCCTGAGATCACGACCTCAGCTGAAATCAAGAGTCAGACGCTTAACTGACTAAGCCACCCAGGCGCCCCACAAGAAATGTTAAAGGGAATTCTTTGACTGGAAAGAAAAGGCCATGAATCACAGAAAATTATGAAAAGAAAAAATTTCACAGGTAAAAGCAAATATATAGTAAAGATAGTAGATTAATCACTTATGAAGCCAGTATGGAGATTAAAACACAAAAGTAGTAAAATCTATTTTATCTACAAAAATTAGTTTAGGAACACACAAAATAAGAGGATGTAAATAAAATATGACATCATATACATAAAACGTGGGAAGGGTAGTAAAAATGTAGTGCCTTCAGAACGCGTTTGAAATAAAGCAACCATCAACTTAACAGAGACTGCTATACACATTAGATGTTATATATGAACCCAATGGTAACCACAAACCAAAAACCCGTCATACACAAAAAATAAAGAGAAAGGAATCCAAGCATAACGTTAAAGAAATCCATCAAACCACATGGGAAGAGAGCAAGAGAGGACATACAATTGTAAATATCTATGCACCAAACACAGGAGCACCTAAATACATAAAGCAAATGTTAACAGACATAAAGGAGAAACTGATAGTAACAGAGTAATAGAGGGGACATTAACACCTCACTTGCATCAATGGATAAATCATCTAGACTGCAAATCAACAAGAAAACTGTGGCTTTGAATGACACATTAGATCGATGGACTAAACATATATATATATATATACATATATATATATGTATATGTATATGTATATACAGAACATTCCATCCAAAACCAGCAGAATACATTCTTTTCAAGTACACATGGAACACTCGCTTAGACAGATCACATGGTAGACCACAAAATAAGTCTCAATAAATTTAAGACTGAAATCATATCAAGCATCTTTCCTGATAACAACAGTGTGAAACTACAAATCAAGTGTAAGAAAAAAATGGGAAAAAACACACACATGGAGGCTAAAAAACATTCTACTAAACAATCAATGAATGGGTCAATGAAGAAATGAGAGAAAATAAAAAAAAATACATGGAGACAAATGAAAATGAAAATGTGAAGGTCCAAAATCTTTGGGACACAGCAAAAAACAGTTCTAAGAGGGAAGTTTATAGCAACACAGGCCTACTTTAAAAAGCAAAACAAATCTCAAACAATCTAACCGTACACCTAAAAGAGCTAGAAAAAAGAACAAAGCAAGTCCAAAGCCAGTAGAAAGAAGAAAATAACAAGAGAGTAAAAATAAATTCAGAGATTAAAAAAACAATAGAAAAGACCATTTGAAAAGATAAAATAGAATAACTGATAAACCATTAGCCACTCATCAAGAAAAAAAGAACACCCAAATAAAATCAGAAATGGAGAACAAATAATGACACTACAGAAACACTTAAGATTAAGAGGATATTATGAAAAATTATATGCCAACATATGGACAACCTAGAAGAAATGGGTAAATTCCTAGAAACATAATCTTCATATACATAAAATGTATATGAAACTGAATCAGTAATCAAAAAACTCTCAACAAACAAAAGTCCAGGACGGAGTTCACAGATGAATTCTACCAAACATTTAAGAAAAGTTAATACCCATTCTCTACACCATTCTAAAAAATAGAAGAGGAAGGAAAACTAGCTTAGAATAACCAACTGATTTCAATACTCACTTGAGATGGGACAGCTCAATGACAGATTGATAAAAACGGAACTAAATGAGATTCTAAGATAAATCTGGTTATTGTAAGCTAACAGGGAGAAGCTATTGTATACTTGATCATTTAAAACGCATTGAAAAGAATTACCTGTTTATATTCATTAACACAACCTTGGCAGCAAAATCTTGTCTGCTGACCTTCAATGATCAGGACACTGTTTCCAGCACTTTTACTGGGCAAGTACTCTCCACACTGTTCACAGCAATTCATTATTAGTCCATTGGCCAACCTGTACTTATTAAAGCACTGGTTACTGCACAGTTTATGTATTACATTATTAACGCTGACTTCATGGCGAATCTAAAAGAAAAGCCAGAATTTATTAAATAAATGAGTCACATTAGCACAGTGATGAGATAGTTAAAAAAAAAACCCAAAAAACAAAAAAACAAACCCCCACCCCCAAAACCAACCTCTAGTAATTTCTCCGTGGAAGAAATATTCAGGGAAAAGATTAATAAGCACATTTTGTTACTCTTCCATTTTTATCTCTGATTTCTTTATAAAATCATTCTTTGATTTTATTCATAGATTCATAGAACAAAAAACTTATAAAATCATTAATAACTTCCCCAGAGACACTTAAGAACTAGAGGAAATGAACTGGTTTAGAAGACTTTGATATGACCTGCTTAAAAGAAATGGTTTGGGAATTTCTTCATTGCCCTAGAAAATTTATGGGAGGGGCTAAAAGAATAATATTACCATATTCAGGATGGTGTCTGTATATACATAAGTAAGGTGGTTCTTGCTTTGCTCAGTTTTGTGGTAACTGAGATAAAATTGTATCCTCAATTTGCAAGGCTCTGGGAAACACCAAATTCAGTCACCAAGAACTGTGTTAAGTGAAGACTTCCTATATGAATGTTTCTTCTTTGAGCAACTGGAAAGATGGCAATACCACTTAAGAAATGTGAGGGTATCAGCACACTTAACTCCACCTGTTCTACACATTCTTGTACCAGGATTGGTTGCATCCTTCGCAACCTGAACCTACACTTTTATTTAGAGTGGCTAATAAGAACAAAATTCACCAGAGAACTACTGCTTTGGAAATAGCCGTGTACTTTCCATAGCATGCAAATGGAGTATCTGTTCTTAAGAGAGTTAGTTGGAACATATCCTTATCATTCCCTTTAACTTCATTGTGTAGATCCAGGACATGTGTATTATGTAGATGGCAGAGCATATAATAACAGTGAAAAGTTAAAATTATCCCTGTTAACCTAGATAATAACTGAAATAAGATATGGAAGTCCAGACCTCTGTTAGTTTACTACAGATTATACATCTTGATTTATTAATTCTTTTTCTAAGATTCTGGTTGTCTTCATAGGGAGGCAAAGACGTACTACAAAATTCTTGGGAGGATTCTCTTGACTTAACTTGAGGAACATTAGTAGCCCTTTTTGTAGGTACATCTCTGAAACAAAAGGGACAGACAGCATTTAAGAATATTGCATTCTAATAAAAGTCAAATATATGAACAATAAACAACATTTTTTTTTCATGATTTAATCCTAGGAATCAACTATGATTTTTGGATCTAACAAAACCCACTTTTTTGGTATCATTGTCAAGAGTTCCTAATCAATATGGCAAGAGATGATTTGGAGGTAAAAACATTTTATAGCACAAGAACCTTGTCACACATTATTATTACATTTTGAAGTATTCAAAAAGGGTGGCAGCAACTTGGAAGACCTAAGGTAAAAGCTGGGAAAGGGATGAGGCGAAGACAGTGGCAGGGAGAGGGTCAATTTATTTCTATATCTACATTCCATTCCCCCCCGCAAGAATAAGGACAGTACAAGATGAATGCATAAAGAAGATGTGGTGTACACACACACACACACACACACAGGAATATTATGCAGCCATCAAAAAAATGAAATCTTGCCATTTGCAACGACGTAGATGGAACTAGAGGGTATTATGCTAAGCGAAGTCAGTCAATCAGAGAAATACAATTATCATATGATCTCACTGGTATGCGGAATTTGAGAAACAAGGCAGAGGATCATAGGGGAAGAGAGGAAAAAATGAAACAAGACGAAACCAGAGAGGGAGACAAACCGTAAGAGACTCAATCTCAGGAAACAAACTGAAGGTTGCTGAGTGGAGGGGCGTGGGAGGGATGGGGTGGTTGGGTGATGGATACTGGAGAGGGTATGTGCTATGGTGAGCGCTGTGAATTGTGTAAGACTGATGAATCACAGACCTGTACCCCTGAAACAAATAATACATTATATGTTAATAAAAAAAGAAAAAAAAATGACAGTACAAATGAACCTATAGCTCTGATACACCCTAGGATAACTCAAGCTCAAAAACCTTGAAGATACCTTTGCAACAACTGTATCCATGAATCTATGCAGCTTTCCAATTACATTCAACACACATCTTATTGCCAGTATTCAAGCATGTTGAAAATTACAGCTTACTTTTTACTTATTACATTGCGTTTCTTTGGAGTGCGCTTATGAGAGAAGGAAGAAAGGCAGGTGGTAGAACAAAAGAGGTGAGCTGATCCTTTTCGTTGATAAGCTGTCTGTCCCTTCTGTAAAGGTTTTTTGCAGTGTGCACAAGTGATTTTAGCTGGTTTTGTAAGTTGCTGTTGGACTGAAGACTGGAAAATCTGTTTAGGAAGGGAGGCCACTGGTGATAAAGAATCCACCCCTGGCTGTTTCTGATTACGGGGAAATGATGCTGACTGGGAGATCCAAGAATCTTAAAAACAAAACACACAAGAAAAAGTCATGGAACAATTCAAAGTTCACATCAGAAAAATATGTTAAGGGATACCTGGGTGGCTCAGGTGGTTAAGCGTCTGCCTTCGGCTCAGGTCATGATCCCAGGGTCCTGGGATCGAGTCCTGCATCGGGCTCCTTGCTCAGCAGGAAGCCTGTTTCTCCCTTTGCTGCTTCCCCTATGCTTTCTCTCTCTGACAAATAAATAAATTTTAAAAAAATGTTAAATTTTCATTTTGCATAAGTCTAAGAGAATAATGACACAGCCTATAAGGAAGTGGTTAAGGCCAGGTAGCCCTGTTGCACAATTCCAGGGAAATGTTCCACTTTGTATTTTTTTTTTTTTTAAGAGAGAAAGAATCTTAAGCATGCTCCAAGCCCAGCGAGGAGCCTGATTTGGCGGGGGGGGGGGGGGGGGGAACAACACACACTGGATCTCTTGACCCTGAGATCATGACCCGAACCAAAATCAAGAGTCGGACGCTTAACCAACTGAGCCACCCAGGAGCCCCTCCACTTTGTATTCATAGTGAACGATACTCTTATTGTGCCAGAAATGTACATGGTGACCCTTGAATCAGGCAATGCGGTAATCATCATCTCTTAAGGCAGAGACCCCAGGTTCAAAATGCATCTCCTAAGCTTACCAGATCATACAAGTATATTAAATTGTGTTTTGTTGGTTTTCCCAGCTACAAACTGGCAACAATATCTAACTCATCAGAGACAGGTAGACTAAATGAGATAATGCATATAGTAAAGCACTATGTTTGGTACATGGGGCACTTGCAAAAAAATATTAGCCACTTTATCTTCTTTTTTTTATTTTTTTATTTTTTTTTAAAAATGTTTTCTTTTTCTTTTTTTTAATTTTATTTATTTGACAGAGAGAGACACAGCGAGAGAGGGAACACAAGCAGGAGGAGTGGGAGAGGGAGAGGCAGGCTTCCCGCAGAGCAGGGAGCCCAATGCGGGGCTCGATCCCAGGACACTGGGATCATGACCTGAGCCGAAGGCAGACGCTTAACGACTGAGCCACCCAGGTGCCCCGCCACTTTATCTTCTTAAAGAGGGAAAGTATTAATACATTATAAAGTAAAGCAAATACACAAATCAAAGATAACTATAGAAACTGGTATATCATGCCCATTTTCATCTTCCTAATATTTTATTATGAAAAATTTAAAGCATATAAAAGTCAAAGAATTTTACAGCAAACACTCATATGCCCAACAAATAGATTCTATACTATTTTATGATTTTTGCTTTATCATATCTATCTATTCCCTTTAAACAATCAACCCACGTATTCTGTGTATTTCAAGTAATATGTAGAATATCAGGGGTGCCTGAGTGGCTCAGTCAGCTAAGCCTCCAACTCAATTTCAGCTTAGGTCATGATCTCAGGGTTGTGAGATCAAGCCCCCAGTCAGCCTCTGCTCAGCATGGAGTCTGCTTGTCTCTCTCCCTCTGCTCCTCTTGCCACTTATGCTATTTCTAAAATAAATAAAATCTTAAAAGAAAAAGAACATCAGTATACTTTCCTCCAAAATATTTTTTCCCCAAGATTTTATTTATTTGACAGAGAGAGAGAGCACACAAGCAGGGGAAGCAGCAGGCAGAAAGAGAAGCAGACTCCCTGCTGAGCAGGGGGAGCTGGATGCCCCTGGGATCACGACCTGAGCCGAAGGCAGGCTCTTAACTGACTGACCCACCCAGGTGCCCCCAAAATACTTTTTATTTGTACATTTTAAGTAAGCTCCAACGTGGGACTTGAACTCATGACCCCAAGACCAAGAGCTGCATGCTCTACCAACTAAGGTACCACTCAGGCACCACTCCAAAACACTTTTTTTTTTTTTAAAGATTTTATTTATTTGAGGGGCGCCTGGGTGGCTCAGTTGGTTGGGCAACTGCCTTCGGCTCAGGTCAGGATCCTGGAGTCCCTGGATCGAGTCCTGCATCGGGGTCCCTGCTCGGCAGGGAGTCTGCTTCTCCCTCTGACCCTCCCCCCCATGTGTGCTCTCTCTCTCTCATTCTCTCTGTCTCAAATAAATAAATAAAATCTTTAAAAAAAAATTTTATTTATTTGAGAGAGAGAGCACCAGCGGAGGGTGGGAGTGGTGGGGGCAGAGGGAGAGAAAGAAGACTCCCCATTGAGCAGGGAGCCTGAAGCTCAATCCCAGGACCCTGGGATCATAACCTCAGCCAAAGGCAGACGTTTAACCAACTGAGCCACCCAGGCACTCCCCACTCCACTTTTTAAAGCAACTCTTTCTACAATTCCTTCCCAGCCTTCCAAGTATTATTCCATAATCATTAATATAAGAGATGGGTTAATCTGGGAAGACTCAGCTTTCCTAACTTCACACAGGAACTCCTCCATCATATATTACTGTTAGCTTCAAAATATACAGGTAACAATGTTTCTCAAACTTTAACATGCATGAGATCACTGGGAACCTTGTTTAAACAGAGATTCTAGGGGTGCCTGACTGTCTCAGTTGGTAGAGCATGTGACTTTTGATCTCAGGCTTGTGAACTCGAGCCCCATCATGGGTGTAGAGATTACTTAAAAATGCATTTACATTAAATACATTAAAAATGCATTTACATATATATATGTATATAAATTCATTCATTTTAATCAATAGGTCTAGGGAGGGGCCTGAGGTTCTACATTTCTAACTCTTGCCAAGATGGTGAAAGCTTTGAGGCCCCAGAGTACTGAATTACTCTATCACTATCTTCAAAAACAGCTTTTGTAGGGGGGCCTGGGTGGGTCAGTCGGTTGAGCGTCCAACTCTTGATTTCACCTCAGGTCGTGATCTCCTGGGTGGTAGGATCCAGCCCCAGGTCAGGTTCCAAGCTCAGCGGGGAGTTTGCTGAAAGGTTCGCTCTCTCTTCCCCTCCCCCCAGCCAAGCACTCACTCTCTAAAATAAATAAATAAATCTTAAAAAAGAATAGCTTTTGTCATTAGCAAGAGGTCTATTGCCGCCTCCACCTATCAACCCCAAATGCCTCTCACAAGTATTAATACTGACAACTATATTTTCATTTCTAAATTCCTACCTACTGCTTCTAATTTTCTTTGTCCTATTTCAAGATACCTTTATTTTTTAAAAAAGATTTTACTTATTTATTTTTGCGAGAGAGCGAGTGCATGCACGAGTTGGGGGGCGGGGCCCATGCAGGACTTGATCTCAGGACCCTGGGACCATAACCTGAGCCAAAGGCAGATACTTAACCTACTGAGCCACCCAGGCGCCCAAGATACCTCTATCTTACAAGCAAAAATAAAACAGAATAACAAAAGCAATTCTTTCATTCCACAGGATGACATGCTGACAAATATGGAATATATCATGATAAGTTTTTTATCACTTAGTACTCAGAAGTTTCATTACTGCTCAGTTTTCCTACTTCTGAACCATTTCAAGAAAACAAAAATTACATATTCATCTATAGAACAAACAGGTTGCATTCTGGGACCACTTTTTTTAAATACCATCTAGATGCCACACTACATTTAATAAATAACAGAAACAAAAAACAGCAACAATTATAAGATTTGTCATTACCATTAATATAGGAGAAATAAGGATGCCTGGGGGGCTCAGTTGGTTAAGTGACTGCCTTCGGCTCATGTCATGATCTTGGAGTCCCGGGAGCGAGTCCCGCATCAGGCTCCCTGCTCAGCAGGGTGTCTGCTTCTCCCTCTGACCCTCCCCCCGTCTCATGCTCTTTCTCTCTCTCTCTCTCATTCTCTCTCTCTCAAATAAATAAATAAAATCTTTAAAAAAATATGGGAGAAATAAAAACCCTAAACAAAAATACTGGGCTTCTAAATTTTGTGGACTTATCCATAAAGGTAGCATGTTTATATAATTATGGAATGTGAGATATCAACTATATGCTTAGAACAATAATTAGATTCTGAAATTTCTTTTTTTTAAAGATTTTATTTATTTTTTGAAGATTTTATTTATTTATTTGACAGAGAGAGATACAGTGAGAGAGGGAACACAAGCGGGGGGGTGGGAGAGAGAGAAGCAGACTTCCTGAGGAGCAGGGAGCCCAATGCGGGGCTTGATCCCAGGACCCTGGAATCATGACCTGAGCCAAAGGCAGACGCTTAACGACTGAGCCACCAGGCACCCCTGAAGATTTTATTTTTAAATATCTACACCTAACATGGGGTTCTAACTCACGACCCTGAGATTAAGAGTTGCAGGCTCTTCAGGCGCCCTGGGTGGCTCAGTTGGTTGAGAGACTGCCTTTGGCTCAGGTCATGATCCTGGAGTCCCGGGATGGAGTCCCACATCAGGCTCCCTGCTCAGCAGGGAGTCTGCTTCTCCCTCTGACCCTCTTCCCTCTCGTGCTCTCTCTCATTCTCTCTCTCTCAAATAAATAAATAAAATCTTTAAAAAAAAAAAAAAAAGAGTTGCATGCTCTTCCAACTAAGCCAGGCAGGTGCCCCAAGATTCTGAAATTTCTTTTTCATGTTAGCTTTGGTGCATACATAAATAAAACAAATGTTTCCTTTGTTAATAGCACAACTGTTTTATTTCTCAACCGACTGAGCCACCCAGGCATGCTGCTCAATTAAATTTTTTACAATGAATATTTGCAGGACTACCCCCCCATATAAACAGAAAAAGTCCAATATCCCATAAGCCTTCGTCTTTTCTCAATCGATAATTTCCTTCCTTTCCCGTAAGCCATCCCTATTCTGACTTCAAAGATTAGTTTTCTCTTATTTTGAAATTCACACACATAAAATCATACAGTATGTACAATTTTGTGGCTGATTTCCTTAACTCAACATCTTGTCTGTAAGGTTCATTCACATCACATGCAGTAGTATTCCACTGTGTGGCTAGAACTATTTATCCATCCTACTGTTGATGGACATTTGGATTGTTACAAATTTTGACGATTTGTGAAGACGTCTTTTAATGGTTTCTTAAGGTATTTAT